AATCCGTCTTCCTGCATACGACCCGTCCCCCTGCATACAATCTGTCCCCCTGCATTCAACCCGTCCCCCTGCATACGACCCGTCCCCCTGGAATACAATCCGTCCCCCTGCATCCAACCCGTCCTCCTGCATCCAATCCGTCCCCCTGGAATACAATCCGTCCCCCTGCATACAACCAACCCAGTGGTCCCACTGCGAGAGTCCCATTCTCCCACATCACTCCCTCATAACGACACCGTCCCCCCAGGCGTCAACAGCGCGCCATATTTGGGGTAAACAGGCGGCTCCGGCTGCTCCGGCTGCTCTGAAGATGACAGAGCGATAGGCCGGCGCTGCCACAGCCGCACATCTGCCGGTGACAGAGTGGAAAGCTACCGACAGCTGCTCGTCACACATCAGATAAGATTACAGGTCTACCTGCATCACCTGTGCAAACAAACCGGCGTGCGCGGGGAGACAGAGAGAGGCGGCAGCGTAATCCAGTGGCAGGTGTACACTTATAATTAGTTCTAAGGGTACAGAGCGGTGAAGGAGCTCATTATTATTTATGTGTTTGATTTATGTAAGCACCGAGGGGGGTAAATGGGCCGGGTTGTGAAATTTTAAAGAGTTTATTCCTTTTTTTACCCTGACATAGATCATAGGTCATGAATTAGGAACACACACCCATTAGTGCGCGGAAACCTAATCACACAACGCGAATGCACATTTTGCTTAACTGCTGGAATCCGAGTTGTGATCAGCGTCTCCTGAAGGGGCACAAAGTTCAGCCCCTCAGCGCCGTTGCGGGACTAAGACGATGACGTCACCGGCGCGATTTAACGACCGCAGCTCAAAGCGGCCGATTACAGGACGGAGATAAAGCTGCGCGCGCGCGCACGCACACACACACACACGTCATCAGCTCACGTTGGCTCTAGCCTGACACCTAGCGACACCGGCTGTAACGTGATCCTACACGACATGTGCATGTTACCACAATGGAGCTGCTGTGGAGTCACCGGGACTTTTGTTTGTTTTGTGTTTGTTTGTTTGTTTGTTTGTTTGTGACACGCACAATCCTCTCCGGGTTTGAGACGCGTGCAGAACCTCCGTCGTTGACACTTCCAGCTGTGACGTAATGCCGCGAGCCGCCGCCGTGACGACCCGTGGGCGTCAGCTCGGAGGAGCCGCGTCCCGGCGCGTGCACTGCGGGTTAGGGTGTCCTCAGCATTTTTCCTTGACCCCCCCCCTCCTCCTCCACCACCTCCCCCCCCCACACCCAAACACCACCTGGAACCTAAATGAAGCCGATACTCATCCACACAAGTAAATGCAGTTCTAGGTGTAACCTTGACAGCTTCCCTGTGCAGCAGGAAAGGACAACGTGCCCCTTCAACAGACACGCGCACACACACGCACACGCACATGCACACGCGCGCGCGCGCGTATAACGAGTTCGTCTTTCCTTCAGTGAAGTCTGACAGGAATGAGGTCAGACACAACGATCCTCCTTGCACATTATTATTATTATTACCCGTTTTTTCTTATTCGGCCAATGGGAGGCCGGGAGGGGGGCGGGGCCCGGGTGACAAAGTCGGTATGGAGACAGACGCCGATTGGCTCTGGCGTCTCGCGCTGAAGGTATAAAGGGGCGAAGTTCTCGTTGTTGTGTTTACAGTAATATTACGCAGCGCGCAGCAAACAGGGAGACTATGAGCACGCGCAGCCGCTCCATTCCACCACATGGTTCCTCAACCGCGCCGACGAGCTGCGCTGCACACCGCCGGGTTCGCATAAGGGACTTGAACCGCTGTGGCCCCCGGCGCCGCGTTCCGAGGCTCGCAGGGCGCGTTTTCAGCCGCACGGGCGGTTGAAACTTGCTGTTGGGTATAGTTTCGGGATACATATGTTCTTTTTTCGGTTGTTGTGTTTCCGCGAAGCGCACTGGTACGAGTTGAAAAAAAAAAAAGCAGGCGCGTGAAGAAAAGAGGAGACTCGGATGAACTTTTCAGACCAGTGTGGTTTTTAAAGCGCCCTAAATAAGACCAGCGAGGAGTTTTCTTTCTTTTTTTTTCCTTTTTCGGCTAAAGCCTTTTGAGAACTCGGTCGCTGAAACTGTGTCTGGAGGACAGGATGGTGCAGCACATGAGCCAGACCGAGAGCGCCCACGCGCATTCTCCCGGCGGGGACTCCACGGACACGGGAGAAATGGACTTGGAGATGGACGTGTCTCCGTCCCTCTCCTCCGGGGTCCGGAGAGACTTGGCGTGGTGTAAAACTCCGACGGGGCACATCAAGCGACCCATGAACGCGTTCATGGTGTGGTCGCAGATCGAGAGGAGGAAGATCATGGAGCAGGCGCCGGACATGCACAACGCGGAGATCTCCAAGCGGCTGGGGAAGCGCTGGAAGCTGCTGAAAGACACTGACAAGATCCCGTTCATCCGCGAGGCGGAGCGGCTTCGGCTCAAACACATGGCCGACTACCCAGACTACAAGTACCGGCCCAGGAAGAAGGTCAAGTCGGGAAGCGGAGCGAGTAAGCCGGCGGAGCGCGGGGAGAAGAGCGGCGAGCGCAGCGCCAAACCCGGCGTGAAAAGGAGCCCCGCGGCGAAAGGAGCGAGCCGGACGCACAAACAGGGGGTCACCAAGAGCGCCGCGGGGCAGGACTACGCGTCTCCCGGCGACCACCAGGCCCTCTTCAAATCCAGGTCAGTGTCCGCGGCGAGGCAGATCCCGGAGAAGCGCGCCGGGGAGGCGAGGCGCGGCCACATGTTCGGCGGGGCCGGCAGCCTGGAGAGCGGGCCTCCCTCCGTGGGGGTCCCGGCCAGTCCCACCCTGAGCAGCTCGGCGGATTCCAGCGACCACGCCAGCCTGTACGACGAGCCGAGCCCCGCGGCCAGCGAGTCCTCGCGCACCGCGCGCCTCAGGTACGCTCGCGCCTCCTCCCCGACGCCCTCCGCCTCGCACTCCTCCTCGTCGGTGTCATCCTCGTCGTCGGATGAGGAGTTCGAAGACGAGCGAGTCGAACCGAACCCGAGCCCCGGGTTTGAGACCATGTCCCTCGGCGGCATGGGCTTCTCCGACCCGGAGCTGGACCGGGACTTGGACTGGAGCTTCGGGGAGTGCGGGGCGGGATCTCACTTCGACTTCCCCGACTACTGCACCCCGGAGGTCAGCGAGATGATCTCGGGAGACTGGCTGGAGTCCCCCATCTCCAACCTGGTGTTCACCTACTGAAGAGGACCGCGGTGGCGAGAAGACACGACGTCACCCCCCCACCACCCCCCCCCCCCACGTTTTGAACTGTTCTAATACCCAGGACAGGCGCGGGGGTCCCCCCCAGAATATTTCCGCCTTCCTTTCACCAGATGAGGGGGAGTGAAAACGGGAGAAAAAAGGTGGCCTGTGCGCGCGTCGGAGCCCCAGGTACGTTCAGACGGCGCTCCGCGCGCCCGACGGGAACGCGCAGAGGGGGGAGAAATGCTGAGTTTGCGTTCGGACGCGGAGGAGCAGTGAATGTAAGCGGAGCGCCGCGAGACACACGTGACAAACCAGCCCGCAGAGGACGAGGACCGAGACACGACTTTTGGATCTCCGTGTTGATTTGGGCCGGAAACGGGGGACATTTACTGGACCGCTCGTTTTTTTGGGGGGGGGGGGGGGGGGCTTTGTCCAAGAAACAGCCAACTCACATTGACCATCAAGTTGCTATTCAGGTGTAGTTTTTTTCCCCCAAACTCAAGATAGTTTTGAATATCAACACGCATGCCCTCTGCGATAAGGAGGATTTTGTTGTCGTTTAATGCGTAAAAAAAAAAAAAAAGTTCATTGCTGCGTAATTACGCAATTTGTGTGACCGTAGGACACAATTCACTATCACCAGCTTCTCTTTCAACGGCAGGACTTGTAAACAAAGACTGACTCCAAACTTCAGAAGCCCTTTTTCTGAACCTTTTTAAACACTCAGTGCACAATTCAGGACCAACGTCCCCCGACGCGCGTCCTTTCCGCCTAGTGCTTCAAACTTTGTAGTTCCTGTGTCAGATGACGTTTTTTTTTTATATCGATGTATTTATACCGGCCAAACTTTTTTATACATAGAAGTATTGTTCTCGTGCAGGTCTCGTTTGTGTTTGTGCACATACACCTGTCTGTATCCAGCGCGGAAGGGCTAGAAGTGTATCTTATTTAAAATGTCCGACTTCTCTCACTTTTAAGGAGACTTGAGTGTGTCATGATTTTCTACTTGTATTTTTGTATAAAATCTATAGAAAGGGGCTTTCCAGCGTGTTGGGTAGCCTCCAACATTGTTGTTTGGATCTACATCGGTGTTTAGATGTGCAGAGGGGGGGTTGGGGGGGTTGTTTGGCACAATCTGACCTCACACAGTGTTTACAGTATTTACCCACATGCTTCTTAACGGCACAGTGGCTCCAGTTTCACCAGCCAAGTAAACAAAGCGCCACCGGTCTGAGTGGTGACTGTTTCCAGGACACATTAGACCTGAAGTAGATGCGTGTCAGATCCCAGAGAGTCACTGTTTGGATAAAGCTGATACCTCTGTGTGCTTTTTTTTTTTTTTTTTTCTTTTTTTATCATGATAAGTTTTATTTGAACCACTGGATGGAATTTCACACTCATTCCACTTTGCCTAGACTTTGGAGGGAGGGAGGGAGATGTATGAAGTGCTTCATCTGTTATTGCGCAAATTGCATCAAAAAATAGTATTTAACCTTTCTGTACCTGTTGGCTAAGTATAGCAGGCTAATTGTTTTCCTATATTATGGCATGGCAAATAGCATTTGTATTTCAGATTCAGGTATATGTAGCTATAGCTGTTGTGTTTAAGATTTTTAAAAGAATAATAACATGAAGATATTTATGTAAACTGACTGTACTATAAGCAAAGATTGTGTGTTTTATGTATGATACTGATCAACGACAGGCACTAGGACAGCCATCTTTGGACATCCTTATGTTGAAGATGATTGTGGTCCAGGAGTTTCTTTTTTTTTTTTTTTTTTACCTTTGAGACATCTTGTCTATTGTCCTTTTTCTTTTTTCATTTGTGCAATAGGCTGTGTATGATCATGTTTTGTCCAATCATGCCAATATCATTTGATGTTTATAGCTCAAAACCAGCCAACGTTTGGGTCAATCACTGCCTCTCAGACCTCTGTACAGATTGTCGTTTTTTTAATTTGTTTTTCTTTTCTTCCAAGAAGGAAATAAAATCAGCTGGAACTGAAAAGTACAAAGTCTTTATTTCTTGTGTTTTTCACCATCTGTAAGAGCTGAACCATAACTAACATCCACAGTTTCATCTCGGACTGAATTGGAGCCATTGCACATATTGGAGCTCCGTGCATGCGGGGGGGGAAATATCAGCCTTAATTCATCATCGCACTCCACCGCTGACCCTCATTCACAAGATCCAACCCGGCGTCTGATGTTTACACTCTGCGCACGCGAGTGTGTGTTTGCCGGTGGGTCAGCGTGCGGCCGCAGACGCGTCGGCGAATCAATATCCGGCCGTTCTATCGATAGGAGGGGTCTCTCTCTCTCTCTCTCTCACTCCGTCTGATTCCACACGTGGCTGCCATGGAAACACTGTATCCAAGAGCGAGGCTGCGGTCCGATCTGTCTGTGTGTGTGTGTGTGTGTGAGACACAGACTGATCCATCGGGGCGGGGTAGGTGGGGGTAGGTGGGGTAGATGCAGGAGGGCGGCAGACGTCTCTGCGAGGCATGACTGGAATAAAGGAGGAGGAGTGTCTGTCTGTCTGGTGAGTGTGCCACTGGGAGGGAGGCTGAGGGAGGGAGGCTGAGGGTGGGGGGAGGGAGGGGGGGGTGTTTGTCTGCCCTGGTGGAATCGTGCAGGAGAGGCTGCTCCCAAATCCAATTAATTCCTTCTGGATGCCTTCATTTGTCTGGTGCATCTGAGGAGAAAGAGGGACCCCCGAGGTACAGTATTTAGTGTGTATCAATTTACGCCCTATTCCACAGGAGACGTTGGTAATTATTTCCATCGCTCCCTCTGTCAGGAGAGCGTGCCCGTGCCCAGCTTTCCTCTGACGTGTCGGGTTGGGTAATGAGAAAGATAAGGCATGGTCATTACACACTCGCCGCCCCCAAAGACGTCTGCAGTAAGGTCGACATCACGCAGGAAGAACCGCGTGAGGTGTCCCTGTTTCTGATGGATGAATGAAAAGACGCACATTCACACGCTGACCCACATGAGCGCAAACAGATGAGACGCCGCACTCTTGACCCTCACGGCTGATCGGAGCAGCCTGTTTGTTTCCTCCATAAAGTCGACACGTCTGCTTGGAAGACAGAGCCAAACACCCAGGTACACTTCTATGTCACTGATGTTCTCCCATTCAGAGAAAGAGATCTACCCTACCTCAGAAAAATGAATATACTTTATACATCTGTGTTTGTTATTAAACACACAACGAGCTCATGACATCAAATGCATTTTTTCCAATGATTAAACAAACCTTTTGGACAAATGAAGCAACGCATTTCTATGAGCTGTAACCAGAGACACGTTTAATTTAAACTATAGACCCAAAGAGGTTGAATGATCCGATATTTCACCAAATAAGAAAAGATTATAGGAAACCTCCTTTTTCTACCTCATTAATCATCTCACGACCCCCCATTTATCCTGCTGTGACCCTTTGGAGGGGCCCAACCTCTAGTTTGGGAACCCCCGGACGAAACAGGATTTTAACTTGTTAGTATTTGGTACATTTACTAAAGGGAATACTCTGAGTCACATATATATCACTGTTATATATTTGTGTATTCCCACTATGTGGGAGCTGCAGCATGTTTTATTTACACATATGAGTCTGCGGGACTATTACAGCAGCAACACACAAGATAAACACACTAAAAGTGCACTTTCAGTCCCAGGGGACGTTTTACGGGAATAATATGGAGCGCGGAGTTGATGTAGAGGAGCTAGAAACACCATTAAGTCCACATAAAGAACATCGCAGACGCCCTCACGGCCCCTCAAGGGACAACGCAGGAGCCTCGCTGTGACGTTTCGGCTGAAGCTGAAGACGCGAAGTCATGAGGAGCGCAGACAAAGACACGCAAACAGCCCGACTTTGCTTCTTTAGTCTATTGACCTGCAGCCGGTGGCGCTTCTGCCGTCTGAGTCGGACGAGTTTTGCGACGATGGAGGAGGAGGAGAAGAAGAAGTTTGCGCACTGAGGATGAACTTGAGGAGGAAGACGAGACGAGTTGCTGCGTAAAAACGGGGAACGTGGATTCGGCCGCATTTGGAAGACGTTGTCAGGTAAAGTATTAACAACCTCGATGACATGAATAACGTTCTTCACTACCTTTGTTTTTGAAGCCATGTCTACTGTCTGGAGAGACGCGTGCGTAAAAACCGCAACGATCACGGTTTGTTTGCTTAACCTACTTGATCGGTGGGGACTTAATTGGACACTAATGCACATTGCTGCACAATCCAATATAGTGGACATAGGACAGGGGTAAATGACGTCTGGCAGTGGGGGGGCAGGAGTTTGCCCCGGGGCTCCTGTCCAGATAAATAGGGTAGTGCCCCCATTAAACCTCCATCAGTAGATAAACTGTCACACAAATTGGAAAAGCTCCGCAACAGTTGTAAACAAGTGACGCGGCTGAGCTTTAAATAGAGCCACATGTGCTCAGCGATTGATGGATACCGTCACTAAGAGGCTTTGGGTAGGGGAGGGGGCGTGCCGTTCGTTTTTTTTTTGTTTCGGCACGGGACACCCCAGGCCAAAACCCGGCCCTACTGGAGTTGTGGATTTTGAGATATTTTTGGGGCTACTTTGCCTTCGTTTTGGCGACTGACCCTCGTTGTCACCCTCCTTTACCTCGGTGGGCTCTGCTCGCTTCTTCTTGTACCGGTCAGTCATCTTCTACACCACTTATCCTCAGGGGGCCGGGGAGCAGAGGGGGGGGGGGGGTACCAGTCCATCACAGGCCGACGCAGACAGACACTCACTCACTCTCCCATTCATACGCCTTTGGGAAGTTTCCCCCCAATTAACCTTTCTGCATGTGCTTGGACTGTGCGAGTAGCAGGAAGGGAGGGGGGGCTGGGGGGGGTTTGCCGCCACTAAATGAGTGGAAGCGTACACGACACGTGTTGGTGATCTTTCACTCTACATTTGGCATAACTGTACGTTCTTTAAACACGTTATCTTTCCCCTTTAGTGGATCATTAACGGAGGCCGAATCACTCTGTTGGCGGTTTGGTTCTGGTTTTTGTTGCGCTCGGGAGACGTGCAGCATCACTCCGCCAATACGTCCCGGCTCGGGGGCCCCACTGTGCAGTCAGACTACCGCGGCACACGGTGTGCTGCACGCCGAGATCTCGTTGTTGAGCAACGTGCCAAAGGCAGTTTGTCAGGACGAGAGCAGCCGTGAGTCACCGCGTGTTGTGCTTGAACAGAGAGAACACGCCGGCTCCCATCCGCCTCCTCTTGAGGGCTCACATTTCAGAGTGGGAAGTCTGGTTTTGCACAGTGAAGGACGCGTCGTGTCAGGTGACGCTGCAGTTGTTGTTACGGATGTCGTGTTGAAGTTGTAATCTGCGTCTGACAGATGTGAGACATCCCGAAAGCAGACGACCTACACGCCGCGTGAATTTAAATGCCCCGATAGGAGTGTGTCACCGCTACTCTGACCCCCTAAACGACATCATCTCCTTGGACGGTCGTCATCATCGATCTTCTTTTCTTCTGGAAGGACAGGCCAACGCATGTGATCGGGACCAGAGCAGAATAAACTGTGAACTGCTCCTGTGGTCAGTTCAGCAATCCACAAGGAAATCATGTTGTCAGTTTCAGGCTGAAGTAAAACCTGAAAACCTCTCACGGACAGACGGACGGGGGCGGTCTTTAAAAAGCAAAACTTGATATTTGAATCCAAGGAAACCGCAGGTATGTGGTTTTCTCTGCAGAATGTTACCTATCGGAGATTCGTTCGGTCTTAAACTCAAGTCGCTGCAAGACGATTCACTCCCTGAAAGAGAGAAATATAGGCAGCAATTAAGCACGAAGCCGCAGGGTGCGAAAGCACACTACTAGGAAATATGCTAAACAGCTCCCGTGGTCGGATTCCAGCTCCTCTGGGGGGCCGGAGGTGGTCGGAAAGGATGTTGATACCAGACGGAGGCAGACGGACCGACACCTGAGCCAACTGTTCAGGTGTTGTGGTGTGTTTCGCTCTCGTCTGTCACATGGGAGTTTTTCCTCCATGAAACACGGCGGTGGGAGAACTGGCAACGACCTCCCTTTGATTACTAAACTCTTAGGAATTGGTTTTGAGGCTCTGAGCTCCCTGCCGGGTCCTCGGGAAGACAAAGCCTTTGGTGGGCTTTGGGAGATGTTCTCGTGCTATTTGGGGGATGACGGTGGGCTACGGAAACATTAAAGACCAGGCCGGGTTCACCGTTGAGCCAGGCGGTTTTCTTTCAAGTCAGTCCTCCATGTTTCCTGCAGGTTTAGCGTCCTGAGCTGCTTTTCTTCCCCTAAAGCGAGAGGCCGCCCACCTCCGGATGAGTAGAACCGCACAAACAACACTTTTAGCAAAGAGGAGCATCTCGCATGCATGATATTCTTTTTATACTCTCGTCTGCGGCTTGATGGGATGGTGGCAGAAGGTTGGGTTTGATGTTGCATCAGCAGAGGACGGGAAAGAGCAGACGAGGCCTAAAAAAACATACCGGACACGAGTCAGGAAGAACTCCTCAACCTCAAGGCTCAAGCGCATATTTCTGTCCTACGGAATGTGAATTCTTATCTACCATTTCTGTAAACAGAGACTCTAATAAAGGGAAACATGGGATATTCATCATTTCTTATGTGATATAATCAGAACTTCAAAGGAAAATATCACCGTTAATTCCAAGATCCATGAGACTGGAATTCGTAGTCACATTTATGATGCTATTTTAAAGATTATCTTTACTGTTCACTGGGAGTTTTGCTTTAACAGACTCTTTATCGCTCAGTATTCATACATATCTGATCATATTCTCTACACGAGGCTCATCCATCAACGAAGTAACGTAACGTCTTGGGGAAAATATTTCGTCAAGGCCCCATTTGTGTCCGTGTGACGACTTTGTAACCCCAACAAAACCATCTGGACAGCTGCATACACATTATGTATTTATGATCATGTGAACTTAAACGCAGCAGTGGCTCCGTTGTTTAACTCGCCATCGCTGAAAAAA